AACAAACAAAACAAACAAAAACAAGAAGGCATTTAACTGGGGGCTTGCTCACAGTTTCAGAGAGTTAGCATGGCCATCATGGCAGGGACTGCAGCAGGAGGCAAGTAGGACTGGTGTTAGAGTATCTGAGAATTTACATCCTGATCCTCAAGCAGAGAGGAGAGAGAGAGAGAGAGAGAGAGAGAGAGAGAGAGAGAGTGCTGGCGAGACTGGGCCTGGTGTGGGACCCCCAAGTGACAACACCTGCTCCAACAAGACCATACCTCCTAATCATTCCTAAAGAGTCCACCAACTGGTAACTAAATCATTAAAATCTATGAGCCTGTGGGGGTTATTGTCATTCAAACCACCACACCGTGTTATCTAGCTATTTCACTTAGCATGCAAATGTAGCAAAAGAACAAAAGCAGAGACTCTACCCACACAATGTTCAGAGTAGCTTTATTCACAACAGCAAAAGGTGGGGGCAGGCAGAGGTCAGCAGGGCTCTGAGGAGGCCAGCTTAGTCAACATAGCAAGTTCCAGGCTAGGCAGTGCTACATAGTTTAATTATTTGTTTTTTTGAAGTGTGGTGTACATAAAAGACAAGTCTAAGAAATCAGGAAGGAAAGCAAATCCAATACTGGACACCAAGTTAGATAGTGGCTAAGGTAGAACCTGTGGCTGGAAGCAAGGACCACTGCCTCAGCCCCGGGAACTGGCACCTGGGCCCTTCACCAACAGTTTCCTTGAGTCCCTAGGACAAAGGATGGACTTGGGAGGTCTCTCTCTCTCTCACTCCAGTCCTCGAGACTCTTCTTGCCCAGTACTTGACACCAGACACCAGATGTTAAGCTCTGCTCCTCAGTCCTGTCAAAGCCATCTGTCATACAAGCAGGACAGTCTCCTGATTCACCTCTAGGAACAGGAGCTGGGCAGGTACACCAAGTAGGTGCTCAGCAAATACACTGAGTGACTGAAAGAAGGCAACACTGAGCACCCTGCCTGTATAGGAGGGTATGTTTAACTCATTCTAAAAGGTCACAAAATAAGGCAGGATGGTGGTGGCACACACCTTTAATCTCAGCACCCAGTAAGCAGAGGCAGGAAGATCTCCGAGTTGGAGGCCAGCCTGTCCTGAGTTACAGGACAGCCAGGGCTATGTAGAGAGACCCTGTCTCTGAAAACCAACCCAACCCAAACCAAACAGAATAAATCATTTTTAACTCATTCTAAAGGACAATAGGCTGGAGAGAGCGCAGCAGATAAAGCACTGGCTGCTCTATCAGAGGACAGAGGACCCATGTTTGATTCCCAGCACCCACATGGCAGTTCACTACCAAGTGACCCACAGGCACACATGCAGATAAAGCACATTAATTTTAACTTTTAAATGACGGTGATGTCTTGGGGGTTGGACTAAATGGGCTAACAGAACCCTGAAAACTGAATTTCCTCTTCCCTGCCTCCCAGAGTATCCCTCATGCTTTTCTGATCTGGTTCCAGGCACTGATGTCCATGCACGGGTACACTAATCACCTGTTGCAAGCACAAAATGCCTGACAAGAGTAGTTTGGGGTTTGTTTTTGCTCACAGTTTTGGGGCACAGTGTAACAGGACTGGGGAATCATGGTGGCAGGAGTGTTAGGTGGCTGGTCACATTGCAGCCACAGTCGGCAGAGATGGATGCTGATGCTCAATTGGCTTCCCCATTTTACTAAGTTCAGTACCTCAACCACGGGTTGGTGCTGTCCACATTTCCAGTGGGTCTTCCACCTCAACCTAATCTAAGATATGCTCATGTTTGTTTCCATGGTGACCTAAATTCCACCAAGTTGACAGTCAAGATTAACTGTCACACCATGGGTGACACACACTATGTGCCAGGTTCCATGACAGGAACTTCAGGTGTCAAATTGCATACATCCCTAAAGGAGAAGCTCTTACTATCCGAACTTTAAAGACAGAAATACTCCCACTGCTGGCCCCAGACTTCCCTTCACCCATTACTCTCAGCAGCCCATCTACCCTTTCTAGTTTTGTTTCGTTTGGTTTGGTTTTTCCAGTCAGGGTTTCTCTGCTTTGGCACTTGTCCTGGAACTCGGCTCTGGAGACCAGACTGACCTGGAACTCACAGAGATCTGCCTGCCTCTGCCTCCCGAGTGCTGAGATTAAAGGTGTGCACCACCAGCGCCCAGCCAGTCCCTGAACTTTTTTGAATAGCCTCTTAGTTTATAGCCCAGCCAGGCTGCCTCAAAATTGTATAGCCCAGTGGCCTTGAACTTGGGATTCTCCTGTCTCTGTCCAAGGGCAAGTGTTATAGGCATGTGCTGCCATCCCTGGCCTCTTAATTTTTATTTGTTAAAACCTTATTTTTTAAAAAAGATTTTATTTGTTATGTATACAACATTCTGCTTCCATATATATCTGCACACCAGAAGAGGGCACCAGATCTCATAACAGATGGTTGTAAGCCACCATGTGTTTGCTGGGAATTGAACTCAGGCTCTCTGGAAGAGCAGTCGGCGCTCCTAAGCGCTGAGCTATCTCTCCAGCCCTGTTAAAACCTTATTTAAATGCATTACATCACCCAATGTATGTGTTTTGCTTTTTTGCTTTCCATGATCTATAAAAGGTTTATCTGTTGTAACAAAGACTCATGTTTTTGAGGTGAGGTCTCACTATGTGACTCTAGCTGGTCTCATACTTGCTGTGTAAACCAGGCTGGCCTTGCACTCATAGAGATCCTCTTGCCTCCTGAGTGCTGGGATTGAAGGTGTGGGCCACCAACACCCAGCCCCGTCCTCCATCTTTTTCACTGTTGTTTGACACACACACACGCACGCACGCACGCACGCACGCGCATGGCAATGGAGTAGATGAGCAGCTACCAACTCCTTGGATGGCTTTTACTTGACAGGCTCTTGCGGTCTCTCCCTCTTCTAACTCCACTCCCTCCTGCTAGGCATGGCCTGTGCTATGGTGTCCCATTTGTTTGCCTCCATCTGCAGCTAAAACACACACACCTTACAATCCCCATGCTACCCGGAGAATTCTTTCAGGCATAGATGGTAAGGAGTGGGAGGAAGCCCTGGCTCATGTGACTAGGAAATGCAGGCACACCAGGCACCAGTGTCCTCAGGGTTCAGTGCCCACACGTGTCTCTCAACCGCTGGAGTGGGCAGGTTACCAGCATCACCAGCTCAGGTGTGCTGACGATCAACGCCAACCCTACAGCAGTCACTGTGGCCCAATTGTGGCACCGACTCACCAGGATGTTCTATGTCTATTCAATTGTGGGGCCAGCTGCCCACACCTCAGGTTGGGGTGGAGCAGTCACAGGAGCACCCTTACAGGTCTGTCTCCAGCATCCAACCATTGCTATGTCTCAAGTCCTAAACCCTGCCCTAGCCTGTGGTCCTCTCTCACACAGCACAGGTGACTGCATCCTGCCTCACAGTCTCCATTAAGCTACTGCTCCTCAATGCTCACTTCAAACCCCCTCCCTATCCTCTCTCCCCCATGTTCTGATGTCCCCCTCCTGTCCCGTGCCCCATACTCTCTGAATATCTAAGATTCTGTCATTTTAAAATCTTTTCTTTTCTTTTTTTTTTTTTTTTGCAGTGCCAGGGCTTTGTGTTAGGCAAGTGCCTCTCATCCTATCCAAACCTTTTGCCATCTTAAAAGCAGTGCCAGGGCTTTGTGAGTGTTAGGCAAGTGCCTCTCATCCTATCCAAACCTTTTGCCATCTTAAAAAGAAGGGGGCTGGAGACATGGCTCAGCATGCTCTTCCAAACAACCAGGGTTCACCAGGACCCACAAAGTGGCTGACAACCATATGTAACTAGTTCCAGGGGATTCAAAGCCCTCTTCTGTCCTCTGTTCATGCAGGCATTAAGTTACCCATACACATAGTACACATTTTACATTCCTGTAGTCCTTCCTCAGCCCCAGCATGGCTTCAGCTCCCTCCCCCTCAGTAACTACTGAAGCAGACATTAAGAATCCTCTTTGGGGATTCTTCCTTGCCCAAAGCATCTGACAACTGTCCTTTCCCTTCTACCAGACCATCGGGACAGCTCAGGGTGTGGCAGCTCCTGTGTCTTGCCTTCCCTTCCAAGTTCATATACCTGTCTCTGGGTGCCCATGTCAACATGACCAATCCACACTTCCTTCAGTGACCTCCAGAGCACCCCAAATTCATCATGGCCAAACTTGAGATCTTGTCTTTTCCTCCTGTGTCCCTCAGCTGAAAAAGTCCCTCCCTTGCCAAAGAGCTAAAGAAAGCTAGAAGAGGTACTTACAGAAACTCTCCCTTAGACCTCTGAAGCCTGCCTTCAAGCCTAAGGTCACACAGGCCTGGGCCTCCCCAGCCACCACCATCCTCATCCACACACCTAGCATGTCCCCAAGGTTCCCTCAACACCCCCATTAGGAGGAAGCCAGTGAGCTTGTTAGCAGATGGACCTACAATCTCCCTCGAGGTTTTTTTTGGGGGGGTTCAGGAACCCCACATGGCCATGTCCCCTGCTTTACTCATGATTGCAGCTCCTTGAAGCTACACCTCTTGCCTTTGGCACTGAGGCTGCCCAGCCTACTCAAACACAGGTAGGCAGACTGCCTGGCTCCAAAGCTGCTTCCCAGTCCCCCTGCTATCTCATCTACCCGACTCTTCACTGTGCTGAGCCCTTCACTGCACTGGTTGCAGAGCTCTATAGTTTTCAAGGCCCAATCTCAGTACTGATCCCATCTATCCCCTCTCAGCAGCCCAGAGAAGGCTGCCCAAGGCTCCACAGCACAATGAAAGGTTAACCTTTAGCACTTCCAGCATGTGGCCGCTCAGTCCCTAGACCACCTTCCTTTCTTCAGTGCTCCTGGTAGTACCCAGACTCCCCACTTTTTACTCAGGTACTGGTTGGCCCACTGTTGTCCCTGGCTGCCCCATGTGGGGAGGTAAGTAGGTTGGCAGTAAGAATGCAGCCACGAATCCCTGGACAAGGACGGAAAAGAAACCAAAATCCTCTTTCTTTTCTTTCTTTCTTTTTTTTAATAAATTTAATCTTCTCCCCAGAGCAACTAATACTAACTAAAAGGGGTATGTGGCCTGGGGTCAGGGGCAGTGAATGCTAGGAGTCATAGTCCTCTTCATCCTCTGCATCAGGTGCTGAGGGGCCAGGGGGCGCTGGGGGCAAAGGCAGAGGAGAGGTGAAGGGCATGAAGGGGGCTGGAGGGCTGCAGGGCAGAAAATGGAGAAAATCAGGGCATGCTACTGTGCCGTGCTGTGCCCAACCCACAGGCCCTGCCACCATGCTCCAGAACCAGATGTGGTATAAATCACCCATTATGTCACAGGAGCCAAGTGTTGTCCCCCCCAACACACACAGGAGAAAAGGGCCCAGAGAATAGCACTGTCCAGGTTTTCTTCCCAACTACAGTGGGAACAAGACCTCACAACATTCCCACTCCCTAAGTGAGCCTCCACCATCAATCATCACTACTACCACCACCAAGTGGCTAGGGAAGTGAAAATTGGCTCTGGGAAGTTTGGCATGTCCCCTTCTGGTGTCCCTGGGCTGAATACCTCTGAAAGGGGGCAGGGGGGTGACTGGCTTGGGGTGGAGGCTGTGGTGTCTCTTCTTCTCCATCAGTATCAGTGTCCTCGGACTCTTCCTGTGAGCACAGCAGGGGTCAGGGTTCATGAGAGAAGGCCTGGGCCCATGGTTGGGGAGCCCAGACCCTAGGAGCGCAGGGATAGATAGGCCTTCAAAATGTATACATGGAGACAGAGGTACAAAAGGTCATAGATAAGGATAGGTGCAGGCTGCCTTTCCCGACCAAGCTGGCCTCACTCACCTCCTGTTCTGAGTCTGTCCCAGACAGCTTCTTGTCTTTGGCTTTACTTCCGGTGCCTCCATTCTTCCTGCCACTGCTGCCTGGTTTCCGGCCCCTTCGGGAAGGTGCAGTCCATCTGCCCAGAGGACTCTCTCCTCCTGTTCACCCCCCTGCCACCCCCAACCCTCGAGGCCTTGGCCTTTCCCACCTATATACCTGGTCTTGGCTACCCACCTTCGAGGACCCTTGTCCCCATCCATGTGGTTGTCTTCGCCATCCCCTTGCATGTCAGGCACGGATGCCACCAAGTCTTTCAAGAAGTCAAACTGCTGCTCCAGCTCAATGCACTGCTTCCTGGAAGAAGTGAGAAAGAAAGGCGTTCAAAGGGGTCCCAAACACTTCCGGAAGGACAGAAACAGCCTTTTCTTGTCATGACACTGGAAAATGATAAACTCCCCTCCCCACTTCCACCCGGCCTCGAGGGCTTGGCTCTTGTTATTCCCTCCACCTGGAACACCTAATCCCTCCTACATCAGTCCAAACCCACCAAACTGGCTCAAACTCACTCAGCCTTGCACCACTCCCCCGTCAGGACACTGCCTCCTCATAAGCCCTTCCCAGCTCTGCGGCCACTGGCCACTCACAGGTGGGACGTGGTCATGGTTTTGGCATTTCGAGACTGGGTCACCTGGCAAGCCTTCTTCAACAGGGACTCCAGGAAGAGTTCGAGCGCCCGCGCTGAGGGGCGTCAAGGAGAACCCGAGAAGCGGAGTGCCGAAGTCCCGCCCGACGCCCCTCAGCCCAGCCAGCCCCCTAGCAGGATACAGATGATGACAGGCACTGCAGCCGCCACCTTCCCAATCTCTTCGTCCGTCTGCATGATCTTCTTGATCCGCGCCTGCCGAAGGAAGGGGGCAGAGCTCGGACGCGGCCGCCGGCGTCCCTGCAGGAGGCTGGGGGCAGCAAAGGGGCACCCCGAGAGAAGGGGGCGGGAGGCACCACGCCAGGCGAGCACGGAGGGGGCGGGGCTTCAGGCCGCGAACACCTAAGGGCACCCGCACCCCCACCCCCAGCAGGACCTGGGCCCGAGCCTCCCGGGAGCCCGGCCCGCTGAGGCCCGGCCCAGCCACGTGCTCACCGGCGGAAACCGCGCGTTGTACTTCTTCTTCTTGCTTGGCATCTCG